GCAGACCAATCGCTATTTGCACAAAGACAGATAAGGTTCTGTTCAAGCTGCGAGAAACTCAGCAGTAAAGCATCTGAAATACACAAAAGACATTCTCAAAAGATGTAAGGAACACTGAAAAAACGTAGATCCTGCAGATCCTAGCGAAATTTACCAAATGCAGTTTCAGTCGTATCACTGAAGTCTATGAGAAATGTGAGAAAATATAAGAGGCTGGTGCCTGCTTCGCAGCTCTAAACAGCTTACAATAAAATACCTAGTCGAATGTACAGAGGGGGACTGGGCAAGAATTTGGAGCAGATGGCAAACAGAAGGAAAAAACATGGCTTTCAACTGTGAAAAATTAAAATCAGCAGCAGCAATAATGTCATAAAAGCCCTACTTCAACGGCTGTCGCAGTGTTGACTCCCTTCAATCACTGCGTCACCTATCGAGCTCCTTGGAGAACGAAGCGGAGAGAAAAGCCGTACTAACTATAAAATATTTTGCGAATGCCTATGCTACTTCCGTAAGTACCGGTTAACCGGACAACGCAGAAGTCTGCTACCCATCTTACCGTCCTTCACACTCAAGCATTTCTAAGTTTCATAAGCAATTAACGTCGTCAAACTTGATGACCTTAATAAGTTCATCTGTGGCGTGTCAGGTTATTCATTAGGTAAAGTTAGTGCGGTCGGTGAAGGTAAACAATGCTGTGTTATTCCGTTTTATCTATACAACATCAAGAGAGTTATACAGTGTTGCACCACACTGCATAAACAGCTATCGGATGGGTCAAGGTGAACTGCAACCCTATGAGGCACTCGCATCAGGTAGTGTGGCCGTACTTCTAGGTAATTCTAGATTCTGGCATAACCATGACAGAATGCCATGCTGGCACTGTCGTTCGAAAGTCAACGATTTGCTATCCGATTCTCTAGTGGTTCTACTGAAGCAACGCGGGGCGAATTCCCTGCAAAAGAAAATTAGCGGATAAAACAAATTTTTCGGTATTAGAAAACGGAACCTCATCAGTTCGAAGCCATACTCTTTGCGACTGTACAACCGATTCTCCTTATCATGTTTGTCAATTAAGCTATAAAGGTATCCTTATTCCTAGTTCTTTACACTAACCTGATGTCGCAGTATTTGAGCAATAAGTCATATACCAATTACTGAAGGAAATACAGCAATGATCTGATCTGAACTAAAGCCGGGCAGAAACCGGCTGGGACACAGTGTTAATCAACTTCTGCGATGACGGTTTGCTTTTAAAGTTCCAGAAACTCTTATAGCATGAGGAGAGAAAAAATTCCCTGAAGGAACGGAAAAAGGTAATCATAATCCTGATTCAGGGAGGGTTGATATATTACCCGCTGCGCGAACTTACTGCAAAATTACACTGTGTCGAAACGGGAGAAGATATTTTCAATGGCAATGCTAGAACGACTGCGAATGACAGCTGAAAAGAATCTCTGAGCAAACCAAACAGGATATCAAACAAGGTTTTCGTACACTGAGCAAATCTTTTCATGCGCAGGAACCTCGAGCAGTGTCGCCAATTTCAGCTATTCAGATATGCCACTTTCGTCGATTTTCGCATTGCATCAGATTCCATTCACCGGGAAGATAATGGGCAACTTAGATATTTTAGAGCAGATTGCTGCCATTATGGAAAGGATGTACGATGGGATGATCAGCGTAATGAAAGCTGAAGGGCGGATTTCGGTCTGGTTCAAGATCAAAATAGGAATCAGACAGTGCGAAATTCTCTCCAGCTGCTGTTCAGTCATTAATAAGTTACATTTTACGAAAGAGCGCTGAACGGTCATGTAGATGGCCTTCTGTGGGAAAAGAAGTGAAATTAAAGGTATCCGGCGAGGTAATTAACCGACTTAGACAGCTTTGATGACATCATCTTACTACGCGATAATGATTGAGTCATTCACTCGTTGAGTGAAGCAGTGTGCATGAGCGCAGTGAATGCTGGCATCCAAATGAACTCGGCAAAGACAAAGATAACGAGAAGTATGGGGGAAACAGCGGACCCGAAGGCCATGGAAAAGTGCTACGGAAGAAGCCCAATAATTCAAATATCTCCATGCCGTTATCTCGAACGACAGTACCTGCCATTATTATAAGAATAATAATCTCCACTAAGATCAGACTTGACTGTGCTGCTGTGAGGTCAGCTTTGTTCTATCCTCTGGAATCAGGCGCGCTTAGCGCAGAAGCACTGGCTCGACAGCTTCCAACAAGGTAAGTTGTGAAACATGATGAAGATCCACTGGTACGATCGTGTGAGCAACGACCATTCATGCACTGGTTTATCTCAAACCAATTTCTGAGTTGCTCAGAGATCGAAGAATGGCCCGGTTCAACCTTCTGCAAGCAAACGACCAAAATTCACTGGCTCGACAACTCTGGACCTAGGAGCCGAAGCAGCCTGTGAAAGATGGATAACCAGCACATCACTTAGCAGAGAAAACTAAACGGAGATCTGTTGGAGAGGAGGAATCTACGTCAACACAGCAAACGGCTATCAATATGAAAATGTAAAGCGTTGAGAAAAGTGGACATCAAGATATTTAAGC